TTTCATGAATTTTGTTCTTCTGCATTAATAACACCTAAAGATTTGAAACTGGAACTATATACTACACTTTTTAGCTAGTCTCTTGTGGCTGTACTCATGTAATTTACTTCAGCTAATATGAGAACTGGGATTAAGTTATAACTAATGTGCAAAACCGCTTTGTATATTTGATGATTTTGTAATGCTAGTGAATTGGTTCTTATCTCACTGATACTATTAATCATGCATATATACAATTAAAAATCATGCTACATTTCCCTTTAGAATTGAAGAGCTCAACTTTATGTAATGGTGTATACATGTGGGGTGGAGAGCTTATTTTTTTCATTTTGTCAAAGTAGGTATTCTCTGACAAGGCTTCAGGATATATGCTTTTAGGAGATTTTTAATGTATAATAAAGTCCATGATTTTTGTATAGTCTTTTTTGTATGAAGTATTTGATATATACTCCGAATTTTATTTCTTCAAGTAATTCCAGATGATGCTTGTGAAACATATGGACTTTTTCTTATGTTATGACACTTATAATTACACATCTAGCCCCACTGCAATTCCGTAACAGCTAAAATGAAAAAAAAAAGTCACTTAACTGAGAATACAAATTCATCACTAGTGACTTTTTTTTCTTTTAGAAAAACAGACTTCTCAATAATTACCCTAGACATGTTACAGACAATATATACTTGCTATGGTTGGCCCTATTCAAAGAAATAATACATATGTTTAAAGGGGCAGGTTATTGTGTACACCAGCTTAAGTGGGCTTGGCCTGTAATTTTAATACCAATACATATTTGTCCCATGTGCTCTTTATACTTTCCTATAACACCAAGTTCTTTTCTTCTGGGAGTTCCTGTTCTAATTTGTTTTTATAAAATATATATACTTTTAAAAAGTCCAGGGTGGATGAAACTATAGAATTATGTAATTTATCTAAGTGCATGTATATCCTAAATATATTTGTATATTGACATACCTATAATCCACTACTCACTTATAAATGGACACCACAATTTGACTAAAAAAATAAAAATTATTCATGCCAGCAAATTTTGCAAGTTTTTAATGTGAAAATTATAAGTAATTTTACATCTGTGCTTACTGAATTAGTCTGTATAGCCATGAATCCCCACATCACAAAGAAATCCTGTAACTTCAGTTTCCCTAAGATGGACTATATTATGCTAAAAAAGTATACTAACATTAAACATAAACAACAAGGCTATGTTGACTGGGTCTGTGGTGAAAATGGACCTCCATCATCCTACCTACCACTGTGTTCTTAGTGATGTGCCATCTAAATGCTACACAGGGGTGGCTGAATATATGTCTCCTCAGTTTCTTTCCTCATTTTTTCACATATAGAAACCTGTGCTTACCTGCAGGATAGAACATATAGAAATAAAAATTTAGCCAACATTCTGTAACTGGTATCACAGTTCTAAGAGGGACGTTTATAGCAATACAGGCCTGCCTCAAGAAGCAAGAAAAATCTCAAAAAACGTAACCTTACATCTAAAGGAACTAGATAAAGAACAAACAAAACCCCAAACCAGCAGAAGGAGGGAAATAATAAAGATTAGAGCAGAAATAAGTGATGTAGAAACAAAAAATAGAACAGATCAATGAAACCAGGAGCTGGTTCATTGAAGTCAACAAAATTGATAAACCTCTAGCCAGACTCAATAAAAAAAAGGTCCAAATAAAATAAAGAGAAGTAACATCACAGAAATATAATTGTAAGAGATTATGAAAGATTATATGCTGACAAATTGGACAACCTAGAATAGATAAATTTTTAGAAGCATAGCCTACCAAAACTGAAACAGGAAGAAATAGAAAATTTGAACAGACCAATTACCAATAAAGAAGATGAATCAGTAATAAACTCCCAATAAACAAAAGCCCAGGACTAGATGGCTTCGGAGGTAATTCTACCAAACTTTTACAGAATTAATACCTACTCTTCTCAAACAAGTCCAAAAAATAGAAGAGGAGGGAAAACTTCCAAATTCATTCTATGAGGCCAGTATCACCCTGATACCAAAATCAGATAAAGACACCATCAAAAAAGTGAAAAACAGGCCAATATCTCTGATGAACGTAGATGCAGAAATCAACAAAATACTAGCAAACTATCCAACAATACATTAAAAAAAATCATTCACCACAATCAAGTGGGATTTATTCCCAGGATGCAAGGGTGGTTTGATATTCACAAATCAATCAACATCATACATCACATCAATAAGAGGATAAAAATGATTTCATCTTAATAGATGCAGATGTTGACAAAGTACATCTATTCATGATAAAAAACCCTCAACAAAGTAGGTCTAGAGGGAACATACCCCAACATAATAAAGGCCATATATAAAAAACCCACAGTGAACTCAATGGAGAAAAACCAAAAGCTTTTCCCCTAAGATCAGGAACAAGACAAAGATGTCCACTCTCCCCACTTTTATTCAACATAGTACTGGAAGTCCTAGCCACAGTGGTTAGACAACAGAAAGAAAAGGCATCCAAATTGGTAAGGAAGAAGTAAAACTTTCACTACATGCAGATGACATGATACTGTATATAGAAAGCCCTAAAGATTCCACCAAAAAACTGCTAGAACTGATAAACGAGCTCAGTAAAGTTGCAGGATACAAAATCAATGTGCGGAAATTTGTTGCATTCCTCTACACTAATAATGAAGCAACAGAAAGTGACTTTAAAAGAAAGAGAGGCAAACCAAGAAACAGACTCTTAACTATAGACAATAATCTGATGGATACCAGAGGGGAGGTGGGTAGGGAGATGGGTTAAATAGGTGATGGGGATCAAGGAGTGCACTTGTCCTGGTGAGCACCAGGTGATGTATGGAAGTGTTGAATCACTATACTGTACACCTGGAACTAATATTACACTATGTTAACTAAGTGGAATTAAAAAAAAAAAAAACTTTAAAAAAAGCCCTCCCATTTACAGTTGCACCAAAAATAACAAAATATCTAGGAATAAACTTAACCAAAGAGGCGAAAGACCTGTCCTCTGAAAACTATAAAACAGGAAATTGAAGATGACACAAAGAAATGGAAAGACATTCCAGGCTCATGGATTGGAAGAACAAATATTGTTAAAAAGTCTATACTACCCAAAGCAGTCTACAGATTTAATGCAATTCCTAAAAAAATACTAATAGCATTTTTCACAGAGCCAGAACAAAAAATCCTAAAATTTATATGGAACCACAAAAGACCCTAAATAGCCAAAGCAATCTTGAAAAAGAAAAAACTGGAGGTATCAAAATTTCAGGCTTCAAGTTACATTACAAAGCTGTAGTAATCAAAACGGTATGGTACTGGCATAAAAATAGACAGCTCAATGGAACAGAATCAAAAACCCAGAAATAAACCCACAATTAAATGGTCAATTAATTTTTAACAAAAGAGGCAAGAATATACAATGGGGAAAAGACAGTCTCTTCAAGAAATGGTGTTGGGAAAACTGGACCACTTTCTTACACCATCCACAAAAATAAAATGGATTAAGAACCTAAATGTGAGATCTGAAACTACAAGTCCTAGAAGAGAGCACAAGTAGTAATCTCTGACATCAACTACCGCAACATTTTTCTAGATTATGTCTCCTAAGGCAAGGGAAACAAAAACAAAAAAATGAATTATTGGGACTACATCAAAATAAAAAGATGCACAGCAAAGGAAACAATCATCAAAACTGAATGGCGGCCTACTGAATGGGAGAAGGTATTTGCAAAGGACACATCCAATAAAGGGTTAGTATCAAAATAGATGGAAGAACTGATACAGCTCAACACCCAAGAAACAAATAATCCAATTAAAACAATGGGCAGAAGACATGAACAGACATTTCTCCAAAGAAGACATACAGATGGCCAACAGACACATGAAAAGATTTCCCTCACTTATCAGGGAAATGCAAATCAAAACTATAATGAGATTCCTTACACCTGTCAGAATGGCTAAAAATCAAAAACACAAGTGTTGGCAAGGATGTGGAGAAAAAGGAACACTTGTGCACTGTAGGTGGGAATGCAAACTGGTGGAGTCACTCTGGAAAACAGTATGGAGGTTCCTCAAAAAGTTAAAAATAGAACTACCATATAACCAATAATCACACTACTGGGTATTTACCCCAAAAATACAAAACCCTAATTCAAAGTGCTATATGCACCCCTGTTTATTGCAGCAGTATTTATAGTAGCCAAATTATGGAAGCAGCTCAAGTGTCCATCAATAGATGAATGGATAAAGAAGTGGTATACATACACAAAGAAATATTCAGCCATAAAAAAGAAAAATCTTCTCATTTGCAACAACATGGATGGATCTAGAGAGTATAATGCTAAGCGGAATAAGTCAGTCAGAGAAAGAAAAATACCATGTGATTTTACCCATATGTGGAACTTAACAAATGAGCAAAGGAAAAAAAGACAAACCAAGAAATAAGACTCTTGACTATAGAGAACAAACTGCTGGTTACCAGAGGGGAGGTGGGTGGGGGGATGGGTTAAATAGGTGATGGGGATTAAGGAGTGCACTTATGATGAGCACTGAGTGATGTATAGAATTGTTGAATCACTATATTGTACATCTGAAACTAATATAACACTGTATGTTAACTATAAGGCATTAAAATAAATAAATATGACTGCTTCGATCAGTGAGCCCGTCTTGGGTGTTTAGGACTGCACTAGGTTCAGTATAGAATCATAAGCCACTTGAAAACACTTTTAATTTCTATTCCAGTGATAACAGCTAATAAATGGTAACCCTTGGCCAAGGTTTTGTGGAAAGAAGGACCGCAAGTTTCTCATTAATGATGACATTGCAATTGAAAGTTCTGTTTCCGTGAACCAAAACACCCCACTTCAGTGCAGGGTTCTACAAGTAAACAGACACTTAGCTGGCCTTGAGGCTTTTGCACAGGAACAGCTAACTTGCAGGTCAAGTACTGGGGTCAGTATTTTATTCAATGTAATTACTAAGACATTTTATGTATGTACTTCTCTATAAAAAGAATTAGTTATCTTGAATTATTAAAGGTGGCATCTCTTGTTTTGACATGTAGAAGTGTAGTTTATACATTTAATGTAAAATCAATACAGAGTGAGAACTGATGTATTTCTGCTAATTGAAATTTTAAGGCTTGGGTTTAGTTTTTTAATTTATTTGGGGGGGGGGTGTTATTTTTTTTTTTAAACTGCCTTTCAGAATGCTTTTGGAAAGCAGTATCAAGTCCAAGTTGGGACTTGAATTCCTGATCCTGAGATCAAGACCTGAGCTAGGATCAAGAGTCAGACACTTAACTGAGCCACCTAGGCACCCTAAGAAGCAATATTAAGCATATTAAGAAAGAATAGAATAGTAATATCAGTATTAAGAAAGAATGTAGACTGCATTGAGATTTTAGTTGGTAGGAAAAGTGAGAAATAATGAATCCTATGTAACAAGTCAAACTTCAAGAAATACAGCTTACAGAATTATACCTTTTCATCCAGAACGGTTTGACTACCAGGTTCCTGTGAAAATTCCTTGTCCATAAAGGTCATATTCTTTGTAAAGGACATAGGCTTTGAGACGGTTTGGTAATGGAAGGAAGGACATGAAGACCGGGCAGCGCAGACGTAAGCGCCCCATACACTGCCGGATCTTCAGGCGGCACAGATGTCTGAGGGGTCGAGGGTTTGCTAAAACGAGAGAAACACACATTATCTGAAGGAAAAAGAATTGCTTCATTTGTTAGTGATGTTAGGGTTTAGTCAGCAAATGTGTGTTAAACTTAAGCCACCCAAATTTGCATCTGCGGTGTCTAAATGGAAAAGGTAACAGGGAAACAGCCTTCCCTTCTCCTTGCAGTCCTTCGTGTCGACGTGATTTCAGAACCAGGCCAAGCTAGGAGTCCAAAGACTGGCATCAGTTGTGGGTCTGAAGTCCTTAAATCTACGTGAATTAACCATCCCCTCGCCTTGCCCTGTACCTCAGGGTTAGGCTTAGAACTAAAGATCACCACCCTGTGGAGAAACTAGATAAAAGAAATTCTTCTTGACTGATGTGCTACTACTGTGAAAGAATGTGGTTTGAAGGGCCATTTGATATTCTCTGCAGGCTTTGATTTTACTTTTTCTCGTCCCTGTTTTCATTGCCATTTCATAGCTTCTAATTCCTGTATCTGCAGTGTTCCATACGATTAGGAGAAAGGTATTACCTGCCATATAATATGTGATTACCTAACAGAGTTTATCTACTGGGAAATGGTGAAAAGTACAAATTAAATGATAAATAGTAACTGTTTCTAGATAGGAATAGTATTTTCCTTGGTTTAAGGAAAGCTTTTAACCAGAAAAGAATGTTTTACAAAGCAAATAAGAATGTAAATACCTAGTAGTATTTTTGGTAAGAATCTTCTACAGGAAAGGATACTCACTCAAGATCAAATGGATTTCTGACCAGAGCCCCTGTTTTTGGAGCACAGCTTTCAACTTTGAACAGATTCGAACTTGATCGACGTAATCAAGCATCACTCGAACAACTTCCCCAGAGAGATGTTGCAGCCATGACAATGTTATTACTTCACAGAACTGAGAAGGAAAATTGGAACTATGAAAGTAAATGAGAAACTTAAGAATCTGTGGGGTTTCGAGCACTCAACTCACAGTCAGGAACCAAGGTCTCAAGTCCCTCATTTATAAACTAAGGCATTGAACAGGGAATTATTTTTTTTTTAAGATTCATTTATTTGGGGGGGGGGCAGAGGGAGAGAGAATCCTTAAGCAGAATCCCCACTGAGCACAGAGCCTGATGTGGGGCTCAATCCCAGGACCCTGAGATCATGACCTGAGCTGAAATCAAGAGTCAGCTGCTTAACTGACTGAGCCACCCAGGTGCCCCAAGGAAATTATTTCTTAGCTCTAACATTTGGAAAAATATTTACTACTGTATCTTCAGAACTATGTAAGATGTAACCAGGGTGTGAAAGAGATAGTTACCTAATACCTGTTGTCCCCTTTGGTTGGCCACATGGCTATCTGGAATAAAGATCACCTTTCCAGCTTCCTTGCACCTAGACATGGGCCACCTAACTAAGTTCTAGCCAGTGAGATGAGAGTGGAAGTGTGAGCAACCCCCAGAATGCACTTAAAGAAGAGCAACGTGTGAGCTGCTGCTTTCTGCCTGCCTCCTGGCGGGCTGGAGTGTGGCTGCAAGTTTCTCTTGTGATCGTGGAGCTGTCCAGTTAGAAGGCTGTTTATCTCTGGCCTTTACTTATATGAGTGGGGAATGAGCCATCTTACTAAAGCCACTCTCATTTTGGGTTTTCTATCATTCATGCCTGGGATAAGACAGTTTCTGTCTGTAGGTAATTTACACACTCCTAGCCATCTCCTACATTAATTATAACCTAAAAATAATATACAATATTAAACCATATGTTGCCTTTCACTTTTTAGAATTGATTCAAAGTGCTTTCTCCATTTCACTGTTTTATTTTTGTTTTGATTTTAATATGAACTCAGGTATTTCTAGTGCATCTACTACCTAGTAGTAGGTAGTACTACTACTACTGTGCTAAGCACAGATCTCTAAGCTGAGGAAAGTGGTGAGCAGGAGTTTACACTGATGTATTTGTGGAGGAGACACAATCAGAAAATGTTAAGATAATTTCAGAAAGTGATAAGTGCTATAAAAGAAATGGGCAGCATAATAAGATTAGGGATGACAACTACCTTAGATAAGGTAGACGGGAAAGGAAGGGCCTCTTTGAGGGGGTAACACTTGAAACCTGAAAAGTGGCAGCTTTTTGAAAAGTTGGGAGTGTGCTCTAGTTGGGGGAAATAGAAGTGACCAGTTAGGGGGGAAATAGGAGACTGGTGTGATGAAAGCCAGGAGGAAAATGTCTCAAGAAGAAGGAGGTGGTCGAGTCTAAGATGGTGGAGGAGTAGGAGACCTTAGTTTCATCTAGTCCCAGGAATTCAGCTAGATAGCTAACAAATCATTCTGAACACCTGTGAACTCAACCAGAGACCTAAGAAAAGAATAACTGCAACTCTACAAATAGAAAAGTGACCACTTTCTGCAAGAATGACAAGACGGAAAAACTCACCTCAAAGAAAAGAACAAGAGGCAGGACCAACTGCCAGGGTCCTAATCAGCATGGACAGAAGTAAGAACTCTATTGAAACTAGAGTTGAGAATAGTATAAAGAATTCTAGCTGGGCTTGAAAAAAAAGCATAGGAGATACTACAGAATCCGTTTCTGGAGAAATAAGAGAACTAAAATCTAATCAAGTCATCATCAAAAAGGCTATTAATGAGATGCAATAAAAAATGGAGGCTCTATCTGCTAGGATAAATGAGGCAGAAGAGAGAATTAGTGATATAGAATACAAAATGATGGAGAATAAAGAAGCTGAGAAAAAGATAAACAACTACTGGATCATGAAGGGGGAATTCTAGAGATAAGTGATACCATAAAGTGAAACAATATTACAATAATTGGGATCCCAGAAGAAGAGGAAAGAGAGAAAGAGGTGCAGAAGGTATATTGGAACAAATTATAGCAGAGAACTTTCCTAATCTGGGGAAGGAAACAGGCATTCAAGTCCAGGAGGCACAGAGAACCCCCCTCAAAATCAATAAAAATAGGTCAACACAGGGGCACGTGGGTGGCTCAGTTGGTTAAGCGACTGCCTTTGGCTCAGGTCATGATCCTGGAGTCCCAGGATCGAGTCCCGCATCGGGCTCCCTGCTCG